TAATTTCAAACAAAGCTTAAGATAGAAGTCACTCTGGTAAAGAGGTTAATGCTTAGCTGTTGAAGTCCGGTAATTAAAAATTGATAGGTTCTGTAACGGAAGATTTTAGATAAACAAGGCAATCTATAGGCTGCATATAGTAGAACAATATCTTCCAAATAAAAATCAGAATGCACTTAAAGTCACTATAGTTTGGCCACGATGTATATTATGAGGATGGTATATTATGAGCCTAAGTGAGTATAGCCGACCTCCCATTCGACTCCAATAGTACATGAATTGTAAGTGTAAAATGAGGAGTAGAAATAAAGTTGCATTCCGCATTTGGATCCGAACCGTCATTTCCGAAGCGCTGAGCGCCAGCGTCCCTTTCACATTTTCTGAACGCTTTGGTAGGCTTTCCTATCCGAAAATTCGGATTTGGTGTAAACAAGGTGTGAATGCATTTTAAAGGTCAATATAGGAAAGGTCCACGGCCGATGTTTAAGACGCGCGGCGCTATTTATGAGCTGGCTTCATGTTTCTTAACACATGATACCGATTTGCTTTGTTTCATGACTTTCATGTTGATAGCATGACAACTTCTTTTTTTTTAAGTAGATGAATTATATTATTAATTAAAACACAAAGCAATTACATTTTTCGATTGTTATGCGCTTGTCTCTTAAGTGCGTGGAGTCACTGAAGTTAGAATAGACCAGTTTTATATGCACTGAACAATACGATATTGTCTGTACGTCTTTCATTTATCTGGACCCTTGACAAGATTAAGTTGTAAAAATGATATGCTAATAGGCCAACTCATTACATTTTTAAATTAAAGAATCATAATGGTTGTATTTATCTAAAAAATACCTTGATGATGTTAGCGAGTGGCGCAGTTGTTGTGGTTTCTAGCCTTTATTTCGCGGATCTACAGTGTTTAAGAAAGTATAATACATACTCCAAGTATTGAAATACACGCCATCGTGCAGTATTTCAATACTTGGAGTATGTATTATACTTTCTTATCTGAGATTAATCAGTGGACCTTTCGGTTTTTACAGTGTTTAATTTAAGGGTTTATGCAAAGATTAAGGAACGGTCTACTCTTTTCAAGCATAGACTGATCCTGCGAAGAAAATATTTCCCATTCGAATTTCTATGAAATAAATTCGAATGCTTAAATATACAAAGTAACTAAAATATGAAATATTAATATTCAAGTTTAGTTTATTAGATCAACAAATGCAGAACGGTATATCTTAAGCCCTGTCCAGGCTTTTATTTGACATGCCTATATACTGTATGGTCATGATGACATCACATCATGACCATATATAGGCACATTATGACTATATATAGGCATGTAGCAGTTTTTTGTGACAGTGTGGACAGAGCTCTAAGCAATGAATTATGAACATGGAATGCGCGAAGGCTATCCCCTCTCTCTCGCCCAATCTGTATATGCTGCAGTAGTGATTTAAACGCCCCACGAAGCCTTCCATCTATCCATAATTCGTTGATTGTGTTATAGATTTTTAATTACCGGTTTATTAACGAACGTTGCACGCAAACTCCCTTGTAAGCACAAGTGTAATTGTAGATCGAATCAATACCCTCGCATTGTTTCAAGTTAAACGTTTTTTTTTCTCTTAATTTGACATTCTGTCTCGAAACAAAATCAAATCAAAACAGTATTGCACGATAAATATCTTGACCCTCTTGATCTATTTTTATTATATTATTATTAAAAATTGTTTTAATTTTATGCATAAATTAATGTTGAAATTGTGAACACCTAGAGTCGAATCGGTACTCGGGTTGGTTGCTGGATTTCTAAAGCGACGGAGCGCTTTGATGCCTGATGTTATGATAATTTTTATTCTGTACCATACCGGTATGTAGTCCTACCGGTTATGTTTTAACCACTGTGGTTTGTGGTGGTGGTGATGTTGATGATGAAGAAAATGGCGATGATGATGGTGGTGATAATAATAATAATCATAAATATTATTATTATCACTTTTAAATTGATATTATTTATAATATAATGATGATCATGATTTATATCAGTAACGATGATAATATCATTTTATTAGCTTTGATATATAAATTATGTATATATATATGTAATTCATATATATAATACTTAGGCCTATATAATATATTATATTATATTATTATATTATATAGTATTTATTATATATAATACATGTATATAATACTTATATAATATATTTTATTAATAAATTATATTATATTATTATTATATAGGCCTATTATTATAGTATATTTATAATACGACACGTAGGCCTATATTGTATATTATTGTATATATACACAATTATATAAAATATACATGTAGTATTATTAAAACCAAATCTATTTGTTGTTCTCACACTCTAAGTACCTTTTCCTGAACGATCAGATCGCCTGCACACGAGCATCATTTTCAATCTAGTTGTCATTTGGTATGCATCATTTAGAAGTTAATCAAGTAGTGACAATTGTATTTATTTACCCTTTCGTTACCATAAGGCTGTTTACATGAGGCTGTAGGCCTATAATTATAATATATGAAGTGTTGTTATTATATTTCATGCCTTTGATGATCAAAATTAAGCATTCTTTTCTAACAAAATGCTTCTAAATTATAGAGACTGTATACACTATGAATATTGACGAAATAAAGGACTATAATTATAATACCAGAAGTGTTGTTATTATTTCATATTTTGTTGATCAAAATTAACTTTCTATTCTAACAAAATGCTTCTAAATGATAGAGACTGTAAACATACACTTTGAATATGGTCGAAATATAGGACTATAATTATAATACCAGACGTGTTGTTATTATATTTCGTGCCTTTGATAGTCAAACTTAAACATTTTCTTATAATGCTTTTAAATTATAGAGACTGTAATTATAATATACACTATAAATATTGTTGAAATAAAGGCCTACAATTATAATACCAGAAGTGTTGTTATTATATTTCATGCCTTTGCTGATAAATAAAAATAAAAATTTCTTTTCTAACAAATGGTTCTAAATTATAGAGACTGTAAATGAATATTGTTGAAATAAAAGCCTATAATTATAATACCAGAAGCGTTGTTATTAAATATCATGCCTTTGATAATCTAAATTAAACATTCTTTTCTTACAAATGCTTCTAAATGTACACTATGAACATTGTTGAAATAAAAAAAAGTAATTATTCCATAATGAATTAGTTAATCTTGTCTGTGCGACTGTTTAAGCGGTAGTCTGTTGCTGCGATTATTGTAGCGCCCTCTAAAAATCGGTGAATAATGCAGCTAAAAACAAAATATCTAACAAATATTTTTTTTTATTATAAGAAGTTTTGTAATTCATTTATATTAACTATGCACATTGCTGTTATATCTATTTTATCATATTATATTTTATTTACCTATATATTTATTATAAATTCGACACATACAAAATACACCAATAAAAGAAGTACAAAAAGACAGGTTAACAGCTTATTTAAAATCAATTTCAAATGCTTGTTAATAGAGTTTATAATTGTTATTATTTATAGGTCTACGCTCTAATCATTCTTATTATTTTTAATTTAATCAATTGTTGATCCTCTTTTCTTTTTTGTATTTTACACGTATTTAGATCATGAACTCCTTTACTCTACTCGCCTGTTTTATTCAATCCGAGAATTATCTTGATGTTCTAGAATATCTTTGCATGTTATTAGGAAATCATCAGGTTTCCTAAATTTGGAATACTATTAAATGAAAGATGCTGTGGTCTAGAGAATAAGCCGGTATTGAGTTCCTTGCGATTGTCGCGAGTTTGTTTTCAAGAATTGCGTAAATGTCATGAAGACAACAACTTATGCACGTTGCTTAAGGATTCGATTGTATAGCTTTTCAATAATTGCCAGAGTACTGCCGACAAGAAAAGTTCTCTGTATCGTATGCACCGGCAAACGTATTACGTTAACACAATCCGACTGCCTGTTGCTAACAACGCGTAAAGCGATATTTTTACTGAATTTTGTCTACTAATATTATTTTTATAGATGTCACGTGTTGCAATAGATCTTCTAGTCTGACAAAAGAATGAGACTAATTTCCATGGCAACCAAGAGATTTCCGTCAGTGATGCCATATGGGACCGCGTATATGGACGGATTTAAATAAAAACTGAGACACTTTTCTCAGATGAAAAAGGAGAGAAACACATTTTCTCATATTGGACCATCATTTTTTTACGTCACACTACCGGACTGTACGCAAATTGGGCGAAAAATAATTACAGTTTATAACCCAATTCTAAGGGACACTTTCGGGACCAAAAAGTGTCCCCTTAATAAGAGTGTGCCCTGATTAGGGGTTGGCCGTAGTTTTAAGATATACTTTCCCTCGTTTTCTAGTCGAAAATGTGTCCCATTAATAGGGGTGTCCCAACGTAGGGATTCTACTGTATCTATAATGGTGCTTTAGTGGCATGTTTTGTTCGTGAGAGTACATGGCCACTTTTACTATTCCTTGGTGCTCACTCTGGTGACGCCAGAAGAGGAAGTCAGTGAAGGAGAAAACCCCATAAGACTAGCCCTGTCCATTGACGTTGACGCCACTTTAAGTCGTTGGGTTAAACATATCAATTTGCAGAGCCAAGCAAAGTTATTTTGACTACAGTTCGTGGTACAGTATATTCGTGTAAAATATTACTATTTCCTTGACTGGAGGCGGCCCATGGCTTGCCCATCCCCGGACTTCGATTCCTGTCGGCTAGTGCCACTCAATGGCGCTTTAGTGGTTGTGTGCTTAGACCACATTTATCTTAATTTTGTTTGCGAGAATGTCTCAGCAAAAACAAGTCTACTTTTGGCACAGCCTTTCCCCAGCCATTGCTATGATAGGAATGATAGGCAACAAAAACTAAAATATTGGCCTCAAGACCGATCATGTGGATTAGGCTTATATATGGGTTGAGAAGATATTAAATAAAAAACAGTGTGTTTAATTACCGTAATATGAAGTTTCAGTAGATGTCATTCGTGCTGTATTATTCTCCTGTCTCGCTTGGCTACGACTCATAGAGCGCACATTCTTTTCAGGTTGGCAGACGATAATGTAGACCTTGGGGAGGAACATACAGCCGAGGGTCACCGTGGCGCTCAAACTAATAGCCACGCACAGTGTTGTACTTTGTACCTATAAAAACAAACAGATATTTAGGTTGAATGGAATGTGCACCTAGAAAAACATAGAAGAGTTTGCCTGTTCCCCTGAAATAACAACTAATGCTTCCGCTTTAGCGACATCTAAATCATTAATGAATAAAATTTTGAATCAATAACTATAAACTAGCATCAATGTATCAGCATCAGATTCTGTAGCTTAAATCTGAAAGAAACAAAGTACCGTATACTATGAATGTTCTTTCTCCATTTCTCATTTTAACTTACCAACAAGAACAATGTTCCGTATTACAGTCATTGCAAGGAGTTAATAAATACTATTAAATTACAAAAGTTCAGTAATAAAAAAACAGTTAATTATAGGATCCACTTACACTCACAAACGCAGCCACACACAACAGCCACGAAGAAAAAAGTTGAAATGAAATGTAAAAAATCATCACAAAACAAGAAACTCATTTAGTAAACACAAAAACACGAAAATACCTATTTTGCATTAATAAAACACGAAAATATAAAAAGATATTTTATTATATATGTAGCGATAAGAGATACGTAAATTAAAATAATTTATAAACAAATACTGTATCACATTCTCAGCAGGCCTATGCCCACAATTTATTTTTTTAACAAACGAAAGTGAGCCACTTTTGGTTAAAATGGTTCTTTTTCTAATTTGTGGAAAGGAAGGAAAGCATTTTTATCAATTTATTTTATTATAATTTAATTAGAGGATTGTCTTCTTCGGGTCGCAGTCGCAGTGACAAGTTATTGAGACCCTGCATTCAGCTTATTGATAATTTAGACGTCATGGTCTCTCCTATCCCCGTGATGGTTATGGGCTTTAATTTGAGACACAGTAGGACTAAGATATAGAGCGTAATGACGTCACAGTAGCGTCATTTTCTCTTACGAAGTGTGTGAGTCACTCGTTTCAAAAAGTAGGACAGATTAGGACTTAATCTGCGTTGGATAAATCAACGGTGACTTTTTAAATCCACTCTAGGGTTGTGTTCTCGCCAGACGCGTCGATGGATAGGACGTACCGTAGTGTGATAGGATATAGACTAGTTAAGATTATTACTGTATAATTTAGAGATGCCCATAGTCACTGACCAGATTCTTAGAACTGTGCACCGTCTACAAAGGATCTTAATTGAACTGCAATATGATTAATAATAGTGAACATTGTGTTAACAATTCAACTGTTAGTATCCCCTTCGCAGAATTGATTATTGAGTTGGTATATGCTGGTGAGATTAGGAAATTAACATGGCCCGATCCGATTGCTTAAATTATGACGCACGAGGCATTAAGACTGTTGGTGATTCAATTGATTCGAATATAGCTTAATTTAATTTAATTATTCAATACAGTATACCTTTTCATTATACTGTAGCCAAAATCTGGCTTAGGGAAATGTACTTTATCTTTTGTTTAAACGGAATCGCCTATGATGTCAAGAAATCACGTTAGGCATTGCATTTCACAACTACGAAAACAAAGAAAAACTCCAGGAAATACAACTCACAATGGCATAATTAGAAAAAGTTTGGCACAGATTTCGTAATTCAACTTTAAATCGAATTTCAGGAACGTAGCTTAAAATTTAAGGTTAAAGTGTCATTTTATTTAGTCATTTCACCTCAGCAATTGTGTTAAGTTTCATAACAGTCATTATTCATGCTTGTCAAAATGTAAACGTCCTGAAATCCTAATCGTTTTATTGGCCGTCACACGGCGCGTATACCAACTTACATCATACGCGCCAGACTGTCCATTGCCGTTTACGTACGCGCGACAGTGGTGGCGATGATTATATTACCGCTTTAAAAAATGTTAATTAGATGAGCAAGAATCAACCACGATGTTCCTTTAAAATTGAGAGGCTCTTTTCATAATGGCACTCCATGTGGCGATGTTAGTTTAATCCCATCTTGAAACACTTGTTGCGGATGTATAACTTATCCACATTACTCAGCTTCCCTCGAAACTATGCCGCGACCAATGGCTGCGGATTTAAAACCACGCATAGTGTATTAGTGTATGTTGCGTAAATAGATGTGGCACATTTTTTCAGCTCGTTTTCGATATAAAAGTGAACATTAGCTTTGTTGCGTTCTAGCGCATGCGAGATTAATACGGTGAACACGACTCGCCAAAGTAACGACGATCACAACATAAAATGTACGACATTCAAACGCAATTCCAGATACGAACAGTAAATATTAATTACGCCTAATTACTGTTCTTATCTATAGTGTAGTCACGAAAGTTACAATTAATTTTTCGCTTATTGGCAACATTTTTACAAGTCCTATATTAAAATCTTACAAACATTACGGGATTGAACTAGTTAACAACACGTATGATTTGGCGGAGAAATAATTATTTTCTCGTTCGGAAGCTGTGTTCACACTATCAAATTTTATGTGACAAATGAGAATGATGTGCCCATATACGGTCATGATGATGTCATATTTCACCCAAATATGGGCATATCACATTTATTTATCACATAAAATTTGGTGGTGCGGACAGAGCTTAAATTGCAATTGAAGCTAATTGATTATAGCCTGGTTCTCACAAGAGCCCTAGTACCCGGATCGGGAGCTAACCGTTAGCGCTAACCAGTATCCGGATATAGCGCTATCGGTTAGCAAGTTGAGCGCGTTTTTATCATCAACCAATCACACGTACGCGTTTACAATTTCCAGTTTCTTATTGGCCAGTGATTTGATCACCATATTTTTGGTATCCGGATCGGGATTTTCTCGTATGGACGCACGGCAGCTATCGGTTAGCAGGATCCGGATCCTGCTAACCGTTGGCAGCCGTGTGAGAACATAGCCTATAATAGGCCTAAACAATAAGGAATATTGAATGATATTCTTCATGTAAATTAGCTCGGCACAGACGTAATGTATTACGCCCATCGTATTTTTGCCATATTTATTCGGATACAGTAAATTCCCCCGAGCGTTTATTGCTGAGAAAGGTTTTTGAAGGGGATTTTATTCGAGGGAGGTGTTATTTTGTGTGTGTGTAAAATGGATACGTATAGCCTATAATCAAATAAACGCCTCTTAGAATGATGTTCCTTCCATTATTTTTGTTTACAATAGGGGAAAGCGTTTATTTGAGGAAAATTTATTATATTTATTTATTTATTTATTTATTTATTTATTCGATGGAGGCGTTTATTCCAAATGAGGCTCTGGGGTTGAGGGGGGGAGTGGTGGTTATTCAAAGCGGGGCGTTTACTCGAATAAATACAGTATAATTATAAATTTTTAGCATTGATTATGAGATTTGACATTTTCAATATAAGGCAGTTCCTCTCGTCTGTGTTGTGCGTGCATTTCCGTATATTCTAATAGCCAATGGTTACGTTTCGTTATTCATGTACATTTCATTATATATAGGCCTATTTTCAGGCGCGATAAAATTAAACCAATGATTGCCCCAAAAGCGAATTAATCACTTTACGACAAATGCTATTCCACCTCATTGAAACAAAAAAAAAAAAAAAAAAAAAAACTACCGCATGTTCTAACCTTTCCCTGACCAAGTGATATATTCACTAGTACATGGAAGACAAGCCCATATTGCGATTATATAGTAGTAATGAGATATTTAGGCGCGAAAAGCCAACTTTTCACACTCCATGAACTGTTGGCTAAAGCTGCGTTCACATCGGATTTCAACCAATGCGGACTGCGTTTCCGAAGCGCTGAAACGCCAGCGTCCCTATTCATGCACACTGATTCGATTTTCTGATCGATTCGGTAGGTCTTTCGATCCGATGATTCGGTGTGAATGATCCTTAACGTTTCATTAAACAGTGTGCGATGACAAACTAAAATGTATATTTAATAATAATAGTAATAATAATGAAATTATTAATATTAATTACTATAACATCACTATTACTATTGATATTTGTGAAGGTTTGCAATGCGAAGTAATAATATATATTTATGCTTGCGGTACACCATGTAGATAGTTCTGAAAAGGACTGCTGTTGGTTGAGAATGTTTCGACGTTTCGATTTAGTTGCTTCAATCGTCTTCAGGAGAAACTATTTATATTATTATTAATATTGTTAATATTACACCTATTACCGGTGCGGTATATTTTATTATTTTCATTATCATTTGTTATTATCATTACTGTATCATTAACACCTTATCATTGTCATTGGTCAACATCACCATAGGCCTATCATCGTCATACTCATCATCGTCCTCGTGGTGGTCGTGGTCGTAGTCGGAAATAAAACACAGAGAATATGAATTTATTTATGTTTTGTTTATCGGACTAGGAGCAGAAAATTAGCAGTATATTAATCAGTGTCCCTAGGTCTACATAGGCTTTGCAAATCTTTACTGGTTTGTACTATGTCCGGTGTGCTCTTTCTGTTGTGTATATAAATTGGATCACATACCCTCAAGGCTCTTGTTATCGTAAGTGAGAATTGCTGGATATCCTAATATACAAATTGGTTGAAATTTTACAGGCTTGTCTGAGTATTATATAATTATACTTACACAGTACTTGCTTGATTATGACCTCTCTACAAGCCATACATAAAAATAAGTAGGAATATGGTTTTCCGTGTACTAGTTTTCGATTTTTGTTCTATTTGTTTGTTATGTTCTCTGATTAAATTGCTTCCGCCTTACACCCTTTAGGCTACAATGCTGTTATTGTATTGTAAGAGAATGCTGGGTCTATTGGTTGATATGGTTTCAGTATGTACGATTAATACATGCGTATAAGTTTTTTTTTTACCGGTTTGCTATTGGTCCATTTTACCTATTATTCCAACTCCATTATATTATGTATTCGTTAATTTACAATATAACCTAATAATAATATATAATATATTTCACCTGATCATGAACTATGCTTTAAAGGTTGTGTTTTCAAAATGATTACCAGCAGTAATTTATATCTGCTTATGCGTTCGTATTATATATTTGATAATAATAATAATGATAATAATATACA